AAACGCCGGTAGTTCTTCATTACAAACCTTTCCTGCTGCCAATCTTAATATAACTGCCCCGAACTGTGCCTCTCTTTCCTCATGTATATGCACACATGGACTTACTAACACACACGGGCCAAGTTCGACAAGCTGTGGTTTGCGGTGAGATGTGATTGATTGGATTTTAATGAAGCCCCTGAAAGAGTGAGAGGATGGATGATATAAATAATTTGCCTCATTTCTCAGCCAGCCTCTTTTTCACCTGAATGTTACCAGCTCTCTCTTTCCCTGCCTGTTTTGGGTCATAGTGTTTAATGGCAGGCCTGTTGTTAACCCTGTGACATCTGGTGGAAACACAAGGACCCATTTACAGCCTAATCAAAACACCCAAAAGTCAACAAAGAACAATCAGTCACATCTGGCTCAGCACTGCATTCTTAACTCAGATTTCACCTCATTTTAAAGAATCAAGTCTTAATGTTATTTGTGTTTGTCATATTTGCATTTTGAACTTTATTCCAATCCTTTAAAAGGTATTTGTAAGTTTGTTTCATCGCTGAATGTGGATTCTTGCCATGTAGTCGTGGTGATGGTGATAACGGTCACATGCCAAGAGCTTCAGCCATTGTTGTTTTACGAGACAAAGAGGTTATAATACGCCCTGTGATCAGTGGTACTTCTCCATCCTCTCAAGCTGAATTGAGGGCACACTGAATGCTACAGTGATGCTAAATTCAGTAGAGAAGAGGTGACAGAAATAGGAGCAAAACAAGAGTTAACATTGGCCTCACTTGTCAGTGTTGGAGACAAGGAATAAAGTTTGATGCTGAACTCGTAACATTTCCTCCAGAATTGTAAGTAAACAGCTGTTAATGTTAACATTGGCTATGCAGCGATAGCAAAAACATAGTCATAGCAACTTTAAAGGGAATAGTTTGACATTTTGGTGAATTTGTTGATTCACCACTTACATGAGATGATTAATACCACTCTAACGTCTGTATAGTAAATATTAAGCTATTCCCAGTAGCCAGTAAGCATATCTTAGCATAAACAATGTAAACAGAAAGAAAGCCTGGCTCTTTCCGAATGTAACAAAATCAGCCAAACAGGACATTATGATTTGCAGCGTGGATCGAAACGCAGGCGCAGACTTTCAAGTAAGATGAAAGAAGAGGATTAATGAAAAGGGTAGGGAGGAATGAGTGTGGAATGAGTGTGGAGGTAGCTGGCTGAGGCAGTGGGCAGGAGGGCGGTGCAGAATGGCCGGACCGGCTGGGCAGGGTGGGTGGATGAATAGGGGAGAATGGTGTGGGCTGACTGGAGGTAGCAGGTGGTCGTGGGTTGGAGAGCATGCAAGCAAGCAGACAGGCGGTTGAGTTAAGAGATAATGATTAGCTAAGGAAACAACAGGAGGAAACAATTCACGGAGAACACTAGAGAGGCCCGAAGCGATGACTACGACCATAGCAGAAACAACGATGTGTCGACAAGTGAGTGAAGAGTCAGAGTAGATATACTGCAGGATGATGAGCTTGATGAAAGGCAGGTGTGTGTGATTAACAGGGAACCGGGAGCCAGGAGAGTCAGGGAGGGAGCGCCACGCCCACACCACACCACACAGACACAGACACAGACACAGATACAGAGAGACAGACAAGGGAGCACAGGAGACACAGGGGAAGGGGGGAACACAAGGAAACACAAAGGAAACCCAGAGGCATGGCAGTGGCCGTGACACAGCACATCTAAGGCTCACTAATTAATACCTTACATCTTGTTTCTTTAATCTGTGTGAGACCCAAAATGTAAAAACATCATTTTGTTGTTTTACAGAAGATTATGTGTCTGACTAGTCATTCACTGGCCTGAAGGAGTTGGCAGGTTCCCAGTGGAGACTGCAGGAAGTTACTGTGCCTGAACAAAGGATTGTTCCGCACTTAACCACCTGTAATACCACAGCGTTTCATTTTTTCCTTTTGTTTTTTGTTCAGATTAAACAAACAAGATGTAATGTGTTCATTAATGAGCCTTAAACGTCCTGTTTGGTGGATTTTGTTACTTGAACAAAGCCATGCTAAATGTTGCTCTCTGTTTCCATTCATTATGCTAAACTAAGCAAACCTCCTGCTACCAAACAGATACAAGGCTGGTGTCAATCTTATATAAGTTTTGGCAACAAAGTACTTGTTCCAAAATGTCAAACTATTCTTTAATACAATCTTAGCTTGATGTTAATTTAAAACAAACTCCTTGCACTGTGTGTTTGGTGAAAAGCTGGAGTTCACTCAGACTTCAGACTTCCTCTAAATGTTTTGTTGCTATTTTTTATCTGAATAAATGTGTGTATTTGAGCCTAAAACAGGACTGCGCTTCCGGAGACTCTGTTCCATGCCTGGTATAAGACGGTGCCCACTTCCTCCCATTGAGCCAGCCAAAAATGGATTTCCCTGCGGCCAGGGTGGGAGAGCTGGGATGGACAATGGGAGAGCAGGATGGACACCCGATCAGATAGGGTATAACCCTTTCATACATAAACACTCAATGCCCACCACTGCAGCGATTCTAACTCCAACACTATGGGTCCCTGTCTGAGACAATGATGCATAAAAGCACTCCTTAAACCCTTCAAACTGATAATGGTAAAGATTTAATCATGTTGCTGTGGAGATCTATTGATACAGAGTCAGTGTAATTACGAGGATGAAGTAAATAAGCGCATAAAAGTTCACACATTTCAAACACTTGACGCTTCTGTCATTTCTCAAGGCACAATTTAATCACACTGTCATCTACGACTCCTCTCATGTTGTAAGAGAGTGTTTAGCTGTGAGGCCCCATGTAATATTAGACTACAGAAATGAAATGCCTTAACCAGCTCAGTGGGTAACTCACTAAGCTTCTTCTGTTTTATGACAGCAAAAAAAAAAAAAAAATGGAAATGATCTGAACATGCTGCAGAGACAGGTGATTATGAAACTGGACCTGACTCCACACAAACAAACACACTTGTGACCTTGTGAAACCTCAGCTGTGAAATATGCACACTGTCAAGTTCCTACATGTCACAGGCAGTGGTCTGGACATAAGAGTGCAAGGCCATTTCCTTAAGTGTGCCCCCAAACCCCCACCCCCACCCCACTCCTGCCTCCATCTCATTTCCTCCATACCCAAACAAAAGCTGCTTCTCTGGGAAAAGAGCTCGGCCACTTGCGTTTCTGTGTAGAGCACGAACCTGCATGCAAGCAGACTCTGGTCGCCAGCTTGTCTGTATACAAAGTAGAGAACTCTTCAGGTCAAACCAGGCAGCATGTGGGGACGTTTGTTTGATTTTTTCAAAATAACAAGTCCAAAACAAAGTGCTCAAGAGGACATTAACTCAGCTCACCCAAACATGAGGGTCAAAACTTCCACAAGAATCAGCAAGAGATGAAGCATTTATTGCACAGGCAGAGCCAAAAGAGCTGTGTTCATCACCACCCTCCAGCTTTGATCTGGCTGCTGGGTAGGAGTGGTTTACCCAGGTGGGTTCCCACTGTCAGAACAAGCTCCTTGTTTAGCATGTTTCTCATGGACCGCAGGCTTCAGCTAGAATCCCTTCTCCCCATCAAAGAGGGAGTAAAGGAAAAGGGGCGTTTCTCCCGAGAGACCCAGTAGATCTGAGGAGTCAGAACCATATCATTCTGGATATGGAACAAAGAGGATACCAATTTTTTTCTATTTGGGGGTCAGTGGAAGCAAGCTGTGAACACAACACTGACCTCTTAAAAGTTGATATAGCAAACTTGTAAACAGTTGCTTATTTACACATCCTGCAGTTTGGAACACCATTAGCATTCATTTGCGGTTGTGTTTCTGGCCAACTGTTTTTGGTTGCTACCACCTCCTGAGGGAAATGTTTTTTTAGCTGTGAAATGCTCCACTATTTTCCACCAGTTTGTTTGGTGCTGAGCAGGTAGTGTATGATGGGTTTTTCCACTTCAAAACAAAAATGACACCTTGCAGTGAGAGTTAACCAAAACACTAAAGCTGTGTGTCAGCTAAGCAATGAGCTGAAACTCGCTATAGGCCTTAGTCGCAACAGGAGCTGCATATTTGGGTGATAATTCTCTGCAGGATTGTCACTAAGAGCAACTGCGCTTAGTGCTATTGTCATGGTACATTATAAATTAGATTATAGCTGCTTTAATATAGTAATTAATGCACGACACATAAGATTAATGTGCAGCATTGTTAAAACAGATTAAGACCATTAAAATGTGAGTCACTTGGAGAAGCAGGAATTTTCACAATGTCAGAGTTGGATCCAAGTTGAAGAAAAATAAAAAATAAAAAAAGCTGATACATTGATATCATCTGTGCTTAAATGTGAAGTCTGAAATCAGGAAGACTGGTCTTATTTAAAAAGAACACCCAAAGTCTTGGAACAAAATTGAGGGGAGGAAAAAAGCCCCCCCACCACCACACACCTTGAAAGTGTTTACTTTAAAACCAAGCTGAAAATTTAATTAGTCCAGCACAGCTGAAAATTTCTTGGCTCTCAGTTTAGTAGAGACACAATGCTGTAGTGCCATCTACGCATCAGTGAAATATTTGCTAATAAGATCACAGCAGAAGCTTGGAAATGGACAACATGTGGTGTAATACTTGCCACTTGTGCAGAAAACGGCCTATAAAATACTTGTTGCCAGCATATAACAGTCAGTGTATGTCTCCATTAAAGCGGGACACGAGTCCAACAACCACGCAGTGGTTAATGCATTACACGCAAGACTGTAGAAGACGAGTGAAATATTGTGCAAAGGCTGACCATAAGTCTTTTTCCATGAAGATTACCTGGCTGTACCTTCTGTATATTTACAACTCCGTAGGAACCATTGGTCCAGCCCTTCATCAGGGAATAACCAGCAAGAAACTAACCAAGACCGTATGCATTACAAGAACTCAGAATATTAAAGTCAGAATCAGATTTATTGTAATTGAAGACAGGTATGACACTAAATGTAGCCCTGCGTTCTTCAGACTCCACATTTCATCTGGTTGTTTGGTGGCAGTCGTTTTCCCAGGTGGATCCCCACTGTAAGTCCAAACTCCTTGGTGGCATTTTTCTCATGGACCTCAGGCTTCAGCTGGAAACCCTTCTCCACGTCAAAGCAGTCCATGGGAGTAAAGGTAAGTGGCTCTTCTCCCAGGAGACCAGGCAGCCGTTTACGCCATTCCTCCAGCATGGTGCTGCGGGCCTGAGAGGCAACGTGAGATGGAGCCCAGAAGATCTGAGGGGCCAGAACCTGGAAGCCACAGTAGTGCAGAATACCGTTCTGAAGAGAGAAATAGTGTTAGTTATTGGTCAAATTACTGGATGTTTGATTCAGTTCATTCATGCAGAAAAATATACCTGCAGTGGCCACAGTGTGACATTCATGTCTCCATTGATGCCAGTTGCACTGAACATGGACTCATGAGAACCAGTGGTGAAGGACAACACAGTTTTCTTGTCCTGTGCAGAAAAGTCAAGAAATTGAGTTGGGCTTTAGACTAGTAATGCAGACCTCTTGCTTGATCCCTTACCTTGAAGATTCCATGGCTATATCGCTTATCATGCGAATAGGCAAAGCCAAGAGTGAGTACCCGGTCAAACCAGCCCTTCAGGATTGCAGGAAGAGAGAACCAGTACATGGGGAACTGAGAAAAGCAAAGGGGTTAAAATTAGTTTTAGTAAGAAGAGCTTAGGGCTTAGCACAAACACATTACTGCCACTCAGGCTCTACCTGAAAGATGATTAGGTCTGCTTCAGTGACTTTACGTTGTTCTTCAGTGATGTCAGCAGACAGTTTCCCTTCCTCCCACGCCAGTTTTGTCTCCTCTGCGTAACGAAAGTGTTCCGCATTCTTAGGTTCCCCTGCAGCAACAAAATAGAGTTTCCTGTAGTGCTGAAGAGCAATCTAAAAAAGGTATGACATTTTTAATGCCTGTAGGAAATGTATATACCAGTGATGTCTTCAGCAGTAGCAGTGGCTTTAAACTTCATAGCATACAGGTCAGATACTTCCACCGTGCACCCCTGAGCAGTTAGAACTTCTACTGCAGCATCTTTGGCTGCAGCGCTGAATGAGCCAGAGCTCTGATGGGCGTACACAATCAACACTTTCTTCGCTGCCAAGACAAGAATTGCAGATTAGAAAATGTTATCATCGGACACAGTGAAATCCAAACCCAAATGTGTGCTATTCAGTCTTAATCAGAGAATTTAATAAACACTCCCAAACTTTTCAACAACTCCAAAAGAACTCACCCATTTTCAACTCCTCAAAGAGCAGTTCAACCCACTTCAGAACTCAAGATGCTGCTTTTATACACCAGGCCTTGTTGCTCATTTGCACTCTCACAGGTGCTGTCAGTCAGCAATCAAGATCATCAACCAATCAGCTGGCGATGTGGGATTATCTCTCAGGACTTTTTTTTTACTGACTCTGGAAAGCATTTTTAAACAGGGAGTGGAATTTATGTACCACTAAAAGCCAAGACTATGTAGATTTTATCAGTGAAGCAGCTGCTGATTTAGCCACTTTTAAACACAGGGTAAATTTACTATAGTACTCTTGCACATGCATCTCCTACTAGTAATGTATGTCTTCCTATTTTAGCCTGCGCAGAAAGAGAAAGAGTCAATGTTTGCCCGGGCCTGTGTTTTTGTGTCCATTCTATATCATGTGTGTGGGTATTTGAGAGCATGCGTGTCAGTCTTTTTCCCCTGTCTACAAGATGTTTAAAAATTGTGTGCCACTCCTTGTGTCTTCAAACCACATCCAAGCAAATGTGGTTGAGTGATCCTCTCACTCTGCTGTTACTGGTTTCCATCTCTGTTTGCCTTTACATTACTTTCCTCTAAAGAAACAGTTGCCTGCGGTTGACTCCGCTCACGAATGCTTCCCCCGTAAAAGAAAATAGTCTCAGCAATGGGCATCAAAGGCAGACATGGGCTGGCACACATCTGGGACCAAAATCAGTCCTAAGTACCATCTATGCAGGCACTGTGAGGGGGAGGGTGGTGAAGGTGGTGGTGGGGGTGAACAACTGCTTCACATTAGCACATAGGCACACATGCATGCAAAGACACCACATGAGTGAGACATATGGATACGCTTTGTCATCTGTCTTTCCTCCCATTGTCTCTCCTTTTTCTCAGTCATTGAGATTGATTTGAGTTTTAAGGGTTTGCAGGTATTTGTCAAACCACCGCATGGACTGTTCAAATTTAAATTCATGAGAATCATGAGGCATTCTGGTGTTTATGAGGCTGGCTCTTTTCATCTCTGGGGCCTCTCTATTTTTTGCACCATCACCACACACGTATGTTGGTGTTCACTGCGCCTCACACCGAGCCGCTGGCTGCATTCCCTCTGTTGTGACAGGAAGGGATCATGTGTTTTTTTCGCTGGGAGGTACGTTTTCATGGATTGTGATGTATTGAGCTACATGATCCCAGGCTGTTTTGTTGCAACATTGTGTGCTGTGCTCACTAGTATGTTTCACACTTTCTTCCACATGTGTCAGGTATTTGACGTGTGCTTTCTCGAGGCCTGGTTCACAGGTTTCATTCAGGCCTCCTGGTTTTTGACGCACAACATAAAAGAAACATCTGCAGGCCATCTTTAGGATTCCCTTTACAGCACCACTAACAGGCAAATTATAGCATACATAGGGGTATAAAAAAGGTACAGGCACAAAATTACAGAGGATTTCAGGATGTTTTACTTCATAGTAAATGCTGGTTAATTATATTAAAATATAACCTATAGTGCCATCATGTGGTCAAGCTGAGAACATACAGCAATTTTGCCCTCTATATCTTGCCACACTTTAAATAAAAATGCTCACACATAAATAAGTTGCAACACCATCCAGATGCTACAAAAGTAAAATAAGAATAGATTATTTATTGTAAATGTTACAAGGACCAAACACCATCCTGTCTATGGATGGATTAACAAACTGGTTCAAGTTCTGTCATACTGAGTGTCTGAGCTGAGTAAGGTTACCACATCTGGTCCAGTAATTATTCATATCATACTTTTGTTGATTTGTTTTTCCTACCGTTGCAGAGCATATATTACAGCTGCAGAACAAACAAACAAGCTTGGCAGTAGCAACAATTAGTTTACCAGAAGAAAATGTTACCTGCATCACTGGTGCCCTCTGATGATTCACTATGTTTATCCAGTAGTTTGTGGTATAGTGTCTCTTTTCGGACAGGATTTAGACAATATCCTTTTCATATATCGCACAAACAGAATCGTGAAGTTCAGGTGAGGACAATTTTTTTTAACATAACATAACATTTTGAATATCTATCTGTACATACTATATTGCTATACTATATTATTTATTTATCTTTTGTAAATTTTTAATATTTGATTTTCTCATTTCGAATTTCTTTTGTGCTGTCCACTTGGCTGCTGTAACACTGCAAATTTCCCCCCTGCAGGACTAATAAAGGACTATCTTATCTTATCTTATCTTATCTTATCTATTTGGGAAAAATATCTTTGGAAAAGAGGAACAACTGCAATGGGGTGGGCTGGGAGCACCTCTTTTTGTATTTGTGCTTTGGACCTCATTGTCCCATACTCTCATCGCCATCCTTTTATTTACCACTAGATGGCGATAGTAGCTGGGTTCTCCTCCAGTCAAGAGATTAATTTGATGCAGTTTATGGTTTAATCACAGTTTGTGAATATCTGCCAGAGCGCTGGGTGGTTAAGGCCAAAGTGAGTAATGGCCATCCAGATGGTGAGTCATGAATTATGCTATATATTGGCAGAACAGAGTCATTGTAAAGCATGCAAACTGCAACCTTTAACAGATTAATGTCACTGATCTAATCACTGAGATGACTATAAGTAAACAGAGCACCAGGGTTTACTGTACTTCTTGATACTTTTGGCAGACTCTCAGCACTGCTGCTTGGCATGGGTACAGATTATAAGTAATTGAAAACATGGCAGCCAGAGGAAGCTGAAGTCTTGCAGAGGCCTCTTTCCAAATTGTGGGTATCTTGCAGCAGGGCTCTTTCCCAAGTGATCAAACACATAAGGTTTCTCTGGATAAAGGAGAGTACTTTTTACAAACATGTTATCACTACTTGATGGTAAATTTATTATCAACATTGGACAAGATAAATCATGTGTGACTGAGATGAAAGAAATAACCTGTGTACTATGAGTATTTCCTTGATATACAAGTCCACTAGAGAGCAGCTTACACCAGTTGCCTCACTTGCAGTGAGGACATCACCATCTGTCATCACTTTGACTTGGTAGCAGCTGCACCATTGTTGGATATTCATACAACATTTGGAGTTGGAGGATGTAATAAAAGTTTGTGATTGGTTAAATATTATATTCATATCAGGCAAGAGCTCAGTTTTATAAAGTTATATCAAACAGCTGCTTCTGTGGTTTCCACTCTCAATCCAAAAGCTGCTGTTGTGATTTTCTAATGAAACAGAAGTGGCCACAAGTAGGAACATCTGGTGTGTCCTTAAAGACTTGAGCGTGTTGTTGAGTCAGTGTTGACAGTGCAACAGAGAGCGCTAACAAGCAAGAGTCTGTCACTTGTACGCATATTCATTCAAAGTGTTGCCGTAAACACACATATCTAATCATCTGCTACATCTGATATTAGATATTTTGATTATCACCTGAAAAACTGAGTCAACTCTTTTATCCTCTGACTGTTTTTACTTTTTCAAAAACCATGTACATGTACATATATATATATATATATATATATATATATATATATCTCACAACAGGCATGGTAGGCATCATATAATAATAAGAATTATAATAATAATATTAACATCTCATAATGCCTTGTGTATTATCAAAGACAGTCTGTGCATATTACATTTTAGAATTACTTCTGACAGAAGAAGTTTGCATTCCTGGTTGGTATAGACCAAGTCCTCAGCTCCATTATAAAGGTACAATAAGTATTTGCGATTGCTATTAACTGTAATTCTGATTTTCCTGGCAACAGATGGTCCCGAAATAAGGAAAGGTTCTTGCCTCCTGTCGCAAGTAAACAAAAAAGAAAGCAAAGAGAAGAGGAAATGAAGCCAAATTGACATTGTGCATTTTCAAAATAGATAGAAATAAAGAATCCGTATAAAAGTGCAGACACGACCTTGTGACTTTGATCACTGTGTCTTCTATCCTGTCATTACTTTTCTCTTTCACTCTTTCAGGTTAAATGTGATTTTCAATGCTCCCCGCCGTTGCATTTTTTACATTTTGTTGAGTTTGAAAATTCTTATATATTTTAACTGCTATACTTCAGTGGACCAACAAATGCAACATAATCTTTCTTTCTCTTCTGTCGTCATCGGGATAACAAGTCATTATATGTTTGTCAGCCAAGTAGGGTTTCCTGAGCCGTAACCCCTGAAGGCAATACCATAAAGTGATGTTCACTGAACTGTGATAGCATCTAGCAGTGAAACACTGTATTATTAATAGACTGAATGACAGACAGACCTTGTGCATATTTATCTAATGTTACAGCACAAGCGCGTACTGAGATAAGAGTCACTGCTTCCAGAGTAAAAGCTCTGAGAGAAGTGAGAATCTCCGTCTTTACCTCTGTCACATTAACGTGTCTTACAGCTCTCCACTATCCATTATTTGCCCCCTGAGGAGCTAGAAACAGGTGTTCTCTGTATTGTCTGTCTCACTGAAGTGGTTGAAAAGAAGTCCTGTTTAAGTAAACAACAAACTGAAGTTGCTGCTTTTAAGTTTGAAGGAGACAATTCTTAAACTTTAACTCGCATTAAACATCACACAGGCATTTCCCAGGTGTAATTGTCAGGTGTGCAGCAAATCCATCCACTCTGCTTTTCCATTTAAGCTTCTCTGTATCAATTATATTTAGTTAAGGGTCTGTTTAGTGCCTCATCCTCCTCCTCAGAGTTGTTCTTTCAGTTTCAGACAGTTGGGAATTTTGTGCACCGGCCTGAAAGCAAAACGGAATCAAGTGCCAGATTGGAATGAAAGCTGTATTTAAAAAAGTTGTTTGAGTTGCTGGATGGGTTGTTTGTTTTGTTGTCAATAAACAGAAGACAGGGGGACAGCTCCACTGAATTAAATCAGGACATTGCTCTTCACTTTACTTGGTAACAGTTTTTCCATAGGCCTAAACTTCCCATACTTAAAAGTTTCCTGAAAAGAAATAAGGAGACTCTATTCATAGGGAAAGGTTAGAAAACTGTTAGCTCTTATGTGTTGATTTTAAAAACA